ACGTTGAATTGAAAGTTCATTCTGACCAAACTTGACTAAAATCACAAATAATGTGCGCATTCCAGAACTAAATCTAGATATTCTCTCTGATATTGCATGTGGCATAGTCACTTGATAGAATATAGATTTGCCATCAACTATTAAGGAAGATTCTACGTTAAAGCTGATTGACATCTACTGTTAGTATTTCTTTTACCAATATTTATAAAGCATCAATTTCAAAACATTTAAAGAATTCGGTAATCCACTATGGAACACTAACACAAATTTTAAAGGGACAAAACAAAAGGAACAATAGCAAAAGTGTACACAAGTTTATAACCTACCTCCATTTCAATAATATGTCCTATCATTGTTTCAGAGGGTTCAAGACCTTCTCGCAAAAAGTTCCCAATAACTTCATCCATACGCTTTCTCAGAACAGGAAACCTTTGCAATTCAATTGTCATACACCGATGACTGATCTGAAAATATAAATTACCTTAAAATTTTATTTACAGATAACGGGCAGCAAAAATACAGGGAAAATACAATTATCCCTACCTTTACCAACTCGTCATATATAAACCTGGCACACTGAAGACTGGGGTCTAGTAAGCGAACAATTTGCCTACGAACAAGAACTTCAAATGGCACCTGCATAAGTGAAATACCATATCAGCTGATCCCAACCTCCATCATGTGACAGATTAGTAGTACAGGACTTTACAAGAGAGACAGCACAAGAGAAAGCAAACAGAGTAAGACTTACTTCCGGTACAAATAATGCAGATCTGGGGCCAGTTGCATTTTGGATGGCAGTACGAATGTCATCATCAGTCAAGTCCTCGCATGGATCCACTTCCTGCACAAAAACATATTATTATTTCAAATCTTTTTTTTTTACATGGAAACTCAAACTGTCATGGAGAAAAATGAAAGAATATACATAGACATACAAAAAATAATAGCTATGGGCAGTGCATATAAAAAATAGCCCAACAAAAAGAGTCCAAAAACTGCGGGGAGGGACTCTAATCCAAGAATAGTACCTAACTAGTAATTACAAAAACAAAAACAAAAAAAAAAAAAACCTTTGAATCAGAAGCCCACAAAGATGTATTAAGCCTAATGTTCTTTTACATGCAAGTAGTTCAGAACTATCACTTAAATGCTATTGTTCCATAACTTGCAAACTTAAATCAAGTGTCAAATTGCAAATCACCTTATGCACCACTCCCGTCAATAAAAATCTAATCAAAATTACAATTCGACATGATATATAAGCCTATAATGGCAAATTGTTTGCAATAGCCTATCTGGTTAACTATAGTTCAGTTGTCAAGTTCATACCATTTTCAATCTAATCCGTTGTCTACTAATTAGAATCTTCAAGTGCCAAAAGTTTGTAATCCAACTTTACTTTTCCAGATTGAAGAGACACATCAATGCTGGTCCCTAGGGTAGGATTCAAATCTCACACAACTTTATGAACAATAATATCAAGCAAAAGCAAAAAAAATGCACATGCAAAATGCCCCCATGGAGAATTTTAAGGGAAAAAAATTACTGTATGCAAACAAATTAAAAGTGAATTGTATATAATAACAAAGATACAGACCTCTAAACTCTTCACAAAGATTGATTGGAAAATATAGTGAATGCGAGCACCACCTGAGAGCTCATGCGTTGACATTTCTTCATTCTTTCCCTCAACCATAGAACAAAATGCTGTTTTGAACAACGAACAAAAGAAAAGAGAGAGAGAAACAGAAGTAGGATCACTCTGAGACTGTGTAAACATAAACCAGACATATGTAATGCATAGCTTATAAGTTATGCTTATTAAAATGCATGCACAAAAGAGCTTTAACAAAGATTCCTCCTTATTTTATCAATGAAAGACCGATTCTTGTTCAAAACAAATGCATGCACAAAAGAAGAGTAATTATTACCTTCACAATATTTTGAAAGAATATTGAGAAGAAGAGCACCCTGACCAGCCTATCCACGACCAAAGGTTGAATATAATAAGTCAACATAATCAAGAAAAGTTCATAATTAAACAAAGAAAAGCCATACGTAAACTATACTACAATACACAACTTGATAACATGAACATACAAATGGAATGCAATTAGCTTTCTACATCATTTTGCATAAGTAACAACAAGGTGTCCTTATTGATGTCCATTCCATATAAGAAATTATGACTGGAGAATGTATGATTGATGAATGAGCAAGCTACCATACCACATAACTATGCAATATATTTGACTTGAATCAATAGGAATATGTAAGGGTAAAAGAAATTTTGAGAACCTTCGATTCTGTTATTTCTCCATAACTGGCATGCTCCTTCGCTACGGAAATCAAAGAAGAACTTATTCTCGACTTCAGCCCAGGAAGTACAGTTCTAATATGTTGTACTAGCACCTATAAATAAAATTAGTGTCAAACAATATTATTATAGCTTAAAATCATCACTTCCAGTTGTGAGCTAAAAGTGTAATACAATCAGACTCAAACATACATACACACATACCTGGTTCAACTTTTTTGCCAACTGAGCAACGCCACATCGATCAGCTAGACCATTATACACCTGTACAATTCAATGCCAATTAAAGAACAAATGTATATGTCTCCACTAGAAACTTATGTTGAGCTTTGTTATAAATAGATCATACTGGATGGGTGCGGAAAAATTTCTCCTCATCCATAAGGGCGTCTTTAATGCTCCGATTCAGTAAAATATCCTGTTTAGTGGCCAATTAAAAAACTCCAATCAGTATAAAACATTGCAACCATGTTGAAATTAAGAATTCAAGCAAGACTGTACAGCTTGAAGAAGAATTAACCACCATATACCACAACCCTCATAAACTTTATGCTCACCTCCTGACTGCGATTGACAACCCCTACATAACCAAGTCGTAGAGGGATCACTTTTCCTTGTAAAAGATTTCGTGCATCTGTACCTCTATCCATTATATCCAGCTGCAGTTTCAATTTGTAGAATAGAGCAAACAAAATCAGAATGTGGATTGTGCCTTGAAAGCATTAAAAAAAAAAAACAGATTGACCATATGGTATATCACCTTTGTTATCACACCAATGGTTCTTATGCCTGTAATTAGACACAAGCAAAAATATTAAAAAAGGATTCAATACATGTTGATGAGATAAGTCAACTCATTAAAGATGTTATAAAGCAGAACTTCACCATCAGGATCAGCATTTCCTGCAATCTGAAGAGCATCAGAATTAGCTAAATCAGAATTTGCTGCTGTCACAGCGAGAATCAAGCAGCTTGGAACTTTGATGTAAGACATGATCATTGTCCTGATTCGTGCTTCAATGTCAGAAGGCTGGTCTCCAACTGGAACTTTTGTAATGCCAGGCAAATCCACAAGTGTAATGTCAAGAACATTTGGGGAGAAAATCTTTAACCGAATCTGCTTGTCCGAGACACCTTTGTTTCCGCCCGCTTCCCTATCAGTCTCAGACTATACAATATTGCAAAAAACGTATTAGGCACAACAAAAACCACTTATTTCATCCCTCTCGAAAAGGAAAATTGAACAAAAAAAACATCCCTACTTCATTAATAAAATTGAAATAGAATCAAACGATACACAATATCCAAACCCATTCTCTTCTAATGCACGTCCTAATAAATATGACCTTGGAAACGATAAACAATCAGCCATAGTCGCTGACGTTCATTGAACGACTTGACAATGATAAGAAACCTGATGACTAAAAAGTCAATGGAAGCGAATTCTATTCGAGAGGAATCTCGTCTAATTTATAGCCGAGATTGATGAGAAAATGAGCAGAAGCAAATTGAAATCTACACCAATCACCACACTTCAACAGACATGAAATGCTCTACCATCGGACATTTACTTCCAGATCGAAACCCAGGTTAAACTAAGCAGCAAAAATGGCAGAAATCCCACCTGAATTTCCCTTCGAATCTCAGAAAAATCGTAGAACCTCTTCCCCGGCAAGTGGAGGAACTCGCCGTATTCCTCTTCAGTCTTCGTCTGCAATAGCTGAAGCACCAGCGGCCTCCTGGTGCATATTTCAGAACCTCTAGGCAAGAAATCCCGACCAACAAGAGCCTCAAGTACGCTGGATTTGCCGCTACTCTGACTTCCGACAACAGCGACCTGCGGGAGCTCGATGGTGGATTGGCTTCCAAGTTGAGCGAATATGTCCTGAAGCTTGTTAACTATTGGTATGACGGAGCTGCCAAGGGGAGCAGCGGAGGACGAAACTGAGGGCGTAGATGGAGGAACAGCCTCGTCCGCCATGAAAGAAGAAGAAGAAGAAATCGACGGGAAGCGGATCGGAGAGAAGAGCGAGGGCTTTGAATTTCGCTGAGAGAGGGAGAGAGGTGGAAGAAGGGTTTCTAGGTTTGAAAGCTTTGGATTCACGACTGTAACTGATGTGAGATGCTCACAAATTTGAGTTTCATTTTTACTTTATATATTTTCAATAATTAAATGTGGTCTCTATTATTATTTCAAATTATATAAAACTAAATTTTAAAATTTTAAAATTTTAAAATAAATTACAATTTTGGGATCGGATTAAGGAATTTTTACTTAAATTTATGTTTTAAAAAATAAATATATTTTTTAAAAAAATTTAGGTAACTTCACACTTTTTAAATTTTCAACCAAATATTTTATTTAGATTTTTTTTTTTTTGTATCAGATTGGGTTGAGTCGAGATAGAGGTTTTTTTAGACCAACTCAAAATCTCCCAACGCCACTCGACTCTATTAATGATGACAACCCAACTCAACCTATGTATTTTTGGGTTGGGTCGATTTGGTCATCGGGTTGTTTAGAAGATGAACCCTAGCCCTATAATTTCATAAACACAAAAATATATCGCAATCCTGTCCGTGTTAATTATATTAATTTTTGTTCGAGATGAATCAATACTACTTGAATCTAAACACGGGGTTAGTTTCAAAAACTTCAAATTGTTTAAACACGAACCCATAAACGAAATGCAACCTTATTTTTTAAAGTCGATAATAGGTCTAGATAAGTCTTGAATAGACGGTTTTACGTCCATATTTACATTATTAAAAAAAATTCCAATTTTGTCCCCAAAATCAAAACCCACCCTTGAGAAAGTTGATGCAAAGCCTCTTCCATGCTTCCCTATCTGCTTCACCTTCTTCCACGTTACTCCTCAGCTCCTCACCATAGGAATCCTATGCCCAAAAGATAACATATATCAAATTTCGAAACTATACGACGTCTCCAACTGTTAACGGACTTACCGTAATGAGCTTCTTAAGGACGAGACGGTCAATCAGGTGAAGAAGAATGTCTTTAGTGTACTCGGGATGACCCTGAATCCCTAGAATATGATCTCCATATTTGAACATCTCTATACCGTACTTATCTGACCATCCAATCACTTCAGCCTTCCCGGGAAGTTCGTAAATCTACAACAACCATATAAGCCTCGTCACAACATTTCAAATATATTTTTTTAAATGAATTTCATTTTCATATATTAAGAAATTATTATTAAGTCAAACACTTTTTAAAATATAACGAATTAAAAATAATTATTTATTTTAAGTAAATATCATAAATTATGTTTTAACCATACGAACCTCATCCCGATGGCATTCGATCACAGAGAGAGCGGTTGGTATTTTCAGAGATGAGAACAGCTTGTGAGATGATGACACGTGGACGGTTGTGAATCCAATGTCCCATCCAGATCTACCCCTGCCCGTTTTTCCGCCCAAAGCACGTCCCAGTATCTATATAAATTACCAACCCATTAATTAAATTTTTATCTGAATTAATAAATAGATTAATTTTTAATAATATAACAATAATAATTCAATATGTATAATTTATTAACTAAAATATAATATTTGAATATTAACGATGTGCGTGAAAAATAAGATAAAGAAAAAGAATACAAATAATTAAACTCAAACTAATGAAAATTAAATTGGAATTAATTAACTTATAAACAAAGAATGCAATTAATTAAATTAATTAATTAACTTTTTGTGCTAGTCTTTGTAACAGTAATTATGGCTGATGAGGAAAGCTAACCTGACCGTGACCGACAAGAGGCAGTGTGTAACATGAAATAATTATAAGCAGACACATGTGATAAGCACCAATTAAATGCGACCACGTGCCACCACACCAAAACAATTCCACGTCATTATGTTTTTTCTTTTCTTTTTTCAGCCAATTCTCACCTCACAAATTCAATTATATGTCTCATAAATTAGTTTATTTTAAATATATATTAATATATCAAATGAAAAATTTTAGAATTTATTTTGACATATTCAAATCCACTCGCTTATTAGATACTATAAAAGTCTAGAGGCTAAAATGGTAATTTTACCTATTTTAGTTTAATTTAATTTTTTATTGTATCCACCCAATCACCACTAACGAATATTTTAATGTCTTCAATAATTAATTTTTAAAACTAATAGGAATATTTTAAAAAGTAAATAAAGTTAATCAACAAACAAACAATTCATTAAATTAACGTTATTGTATTTACGTGTACATTAGTGACTCCAAATAAACTAAAAATTAAATAATCATGCCACGTCATCACACCATGCTTAACATAAGCTAATGAAAAAAAAACCCAAAATTATAATATAAATATTAAGAAAATTTTAACTTTTTTATTTAATTATTGGTTGAAATTTTATATTATTTTCAACTGAATTAAATTTAAAAAATGATCAATTATAGCCGAATTTCTGCGTCTACATTCTTTTAGTGGGCCCGAAAAAAATTATAGAAAGAAATTAAGAACCAATTAAAACATGTTTTAATTACAATTTATTTAGAATTAAAATTTGTATTAAATAAATAATTAAACTGCTGGATTATTATGATAAAATTAATGAAATTGTAAAAATTGTAAAAATAAATAAAATAAATGGAAGATGAAATGACAAAAATACCTGATGGCCGAAGCAAATACCGAGGATTCGTTTATTCAAGGACGTCAATCTCTGCAACAGAACGATTAATTGGCAGATCCAAGGATCGTCGCCGTGAGCGTCGTTGCAACTGCCGGTGATAACAAATCCGTCGTAGTCGGCGATCTGATCGTTGGCCGGGAAGTCGCCGGCGGCGACTCGGAAAAGGTCCCAAGCCTCTCCTTCTTCGCCCAACATTCTGACGAAAACTCCGAAATATCCGCCGTACTTCTTCTTGACGTATTCGGAATCGTCGGCGCAGAGAAGGACTGCAAATCTCTTCATCCCCATCCTCGGAAAATGGATCTGATTTCGCGCCTCCGTCGCAGATTCTCTCTCTCCGGCTTAGCGACTGTGCGGCGGACCAAAGGCCGTTTCTCTCTCTAAACTGCGATTTTAGAGAGAGAGAGGAGGGGGAAGGACGGATGGGGTGTTGTTGGGTTTTTGTTATATATATCGCATTTTAGTTATTGGATCGACACATCATATGTATGTGTTTATTGGCTTTTCGTCGTTTCTATTATAAATTATGTGTCGAGTTTACCCTTTAATATATTTGTAAAAAAAAAATAATTAATTAAATATTTTAAATTTTAAATTTTATAAGCTCCTTCGGATTCAAACTAAAATATAGAATTTGAATTCGACATAGGAACTTTAGATTTTTTTTTTTTTTAATCTATTATGATATAACCACGTCACCTACTTATCTTGAACTGGTTTTAGACCAACATATAACATTTTAGTTGTATTCAATGGTAGTCGATAGTGATGAGGTGGCGTTGGACAACCACGGTCACCAGTGGTTGTTATTGGTGGCATTCAATAATAGGCAACAGTAGTTGTATAGAGGTGTAGGTATTTTGGTCATTTTAATATCTCGTAAAAATCTAGATGGAATTCCCGATCTCTCAACGATGCCTCCTTTCATGTTGCTGACATCCCTCTCCTATCTCAAAAGTGGAGAGAAGCCATATTAATTTATTCAAGTCAATAAAATAATTTTAATATAAAACTCATAGAACGGGGTGGAAACGAGTTGACAATGGGACGTTGCTATACATTTGTTAATTTTTTTTCTTAATGGAAAATTTGGTCAATTCCTTGCTACCTAAGGATTTTACAAGTTGTTCATTAGAAATGTCTAGAACAATCGATTCTAAAATATAGCTAAAAACTCGATGAGCACATTTAAGAATTTAAAATATAATACTTTTTAATTATTTGGAAGACAATTTTCTAAAATATATATTAAAAATAAGTTGCAAATTTTGAGTAAATATTTAAAAATAAATAAATATTTTACTTTTTATTAAGTACAAAAGTTTGAATTTTTCTTATATTTTTATATGCAAGGTTATTTTGAATATAGTTAATTAATTAAATGGATGTAATTATAATGAATTTTAATTAACTAGTTAATAGCTTCAACAGTATATTTAATTACTGAGTTAGAATTATTTAAATCGGGATATTCTACATTGTAATAATTATAATTACTTACTAATGATCATTTAGTAAGTAATTATAAATCAAAATGCAAATATATCATAGCCATGGCCCCTTCAAACAATATTAAACCGATGATGACGTGTGATCATATAAGATAATGAGAGGATAGCAAGGAAAGATATTGGAAGGCTTTTTCAGGGCATTTTCCATCAATCTTGGAATGATGTGGGAAATCAAGAGGCAATTTTGCAGCAGAAACTGGTGTTTCATTAAGCACTTTCTGTAGCTCTTGGTGCACAATTGCATTGCCTTCTGGTGTAAGATGCACTCCATCGCTGTATTGCAAACAAAAAAGTTATCTCAATATCCAATCTCTAATACTCATTTTGATCTACAAAGGCAGGTCTGTTCGTTCGGGTTCACAAGGTTGTTGCTCACATCCGCTCGTCCTATTTGTTTGTAGTCTCATCGTAAATCATCGAGGGCTTCATTGTAACCCTAATTTTCGTATGTTGCCACAGGAAACTCTAGTTGTCGCAAGTGCTCGACGTCATGATCTTAGGTGCTTGTTTAACACCTGTGGAAGTTTGAGTGTCCAAGACAAACGTTGGTTGGAGAGGAGAATGAAGCATTTCTTATAGGAGTGTGGAAACTTCTCCCTAACAGATGCGTTTTAAAACTGTGAGGCTGATAGCGATACGTAATGGGTTAAAGCAAACAATATCTGCTAGCGGTGGACTTGGATTGTTACAAATGGTATCAGTGCCCGACACTGGGCCCCCAAGGGGATGGATTGTGAGATCCCACATTGGTTAGAGAGGAGAACAATGCATTTCTTATAGGAGCGTAGAAACTTCTTCCTAACAGACACGTTTTAAAATCGTGAGGCCGACAACAATACGTAATAGGCCAAAGCGGACAATATCCACTACAGTCAGACACCGGGCGGTGTGCCAACGAGGACATTGGACACCCAAGAGAGGTGGATTGTAAGATCCCACATTTGTGGAAGAGAGGAACGAAGCATTCCTTATAGGAGTGTGGAAACCTCTCCCTAACAGATGAGTTTTACTGTGAGGCTGATAGCGATACATAACGGGCCAAAGTGGACAGTATTTTCTAGCGGTGGGCTTGGGCTGTTATAAATAGTATCAGAGGCAGACACCGGGCAATGTGCCAACGAGGACGCTGGGCCTCCAAGGGAGGTGGATTGTGAAATCACACGTTGGTGGAGAGGGGAACGAAGCACTTCTTATAGGGGTGTGGAAACCTCTCCCTAACAGACGCGTTTAAAACCATGAGGCTAACCGTAATACACAACGGGCCAAAGTAGACAATATCTGCTAGCGGTGAGCTTGAGCTGTTATATCATCGTTCTCACTTAGTAGACATATGAAAATTGATTATGGTTTGGTTTGGTTTTGTTTGGTTCAAGCCAAGTGGTTGTATCCATCAACCTCGTTTGGTTTATATTCGTCTATATCTTTGGTGGTGTTACCCTACTTATATTCAAGTCCTCCTAAGGCTAGAGTATTAACATAATATGAGGGCATATAACACTAAAGAATAAAGGTATCAGAATTCAGAACCAGACCAAAAATTTCAAACAATGAGTAAAACTTGGTTGAATCACATACCTGAGAAATTTGTTCTGCCAGCCCTCCGTTTCCTGCAACTTGGACCATAAATCAATGGCGTGAAGGCCCATTTCGTTAGCTAGTTCGAGGCATTTGGTGGCATAAAGTCCAGTTACTTCATTTCTTCTTTCTGGAAATTCCAATGCTTCTTCATCAGCAAGAGATCTGCTTCACATTAATTGGTTTATGAACAAAGGGCTTACAATCTCTCTTCAGCATATTGATGAAACTTTGAACTTAAACAAAGGGAAGTTCTTGAATAAGCCACACTTTTAAAAGGCTAATCATGCTGAAGGTAGTGATCTTAGATAACCTTTACTGTTGTCGCAAACAGTTTTAAAAGTTGAACTAAGGCGCAATACCTGTCTAGAATGAAAGCGGTCTTTCAAAAATACCCTTGAACTTTCGAATTTTCATTAATACCTTTGAACTTTCCTATAAATTTAAAAGATATCCTTAGTCTTTTTTTAAAGTTAAAAAATATTATTACCGTTAGCCTTTTTAAAAAAAAAAAGTTGAAAGGTATTAATATTATTTTTGAAAGTTTATGAGTATTTTAGAAACGTAATACTAGCTATCAGAAGTAATTTCGAACTTTAAAAACGTTAAAGGGTATTTTTGAAGTTTTTAAAAAAATTTAAGGGTATTAATGAAATTTTTTAAATTTCAAAGGAAATTTTTAGAAACAGTGATAATGACAAAAGTAGGAAGATGGAAAAGTGATACCGTGCATATTCCTTGGGCCCTTCCTCATCAACAGGAGGAGGAGTAATAAGTACAACCAGTGAGGTTGGGTAGCACTCCTGCAACCAAAATAAGAGTGCTCCAATTACAAAATGAATTGGGAAGGATGAACCAGAGGAACCCAAAACAAATGGAAGCATAATGTTTCTCAGATTCATTGCAGTTTTCTTTCTAATACTTTAGTGTTTTGGGTCAGCAAGCCAATATATCTCTCTCATAAGTCATCCGTCTCGTCCTATCCTACCACATTTGGTTTTGAAAAACTCGTATGATAGCTTAATATCTTAGATTAGAGGCCAAAACGATTATAGTTTATTACCAAACATAGTAGATATTGCCTTCTTTGGGTTGTCTCTTTCGGGCTTCTCCTCAAGGTTTTTAAAACGTGTTTTTGACAGGGAGAGGTTTCCACATCCTTTTAAAAAATGTTTCGTTCCCCTCTCCAACCGATGTGGGATCTCACAATCCACCCCCTTCGAGGCCCAGCATCCTCGTTGATACTTGTTCCTGTCTCCAATCGATGTACGATCTCACAATCCATCCCCCCTTTGGGGCTCAACGTCCTCGCTGGCACACCACCCGGTGTCCACCCCCTTCGGGGCCCAACGTCCTCACTGGCACATCGGGTGTCTAACTCTGATACCATTTGTAACGAACCAAGTCCACCGCTAGCACATGTTGTTCTCTTTGGACTTTTCCTTCCGGACTTCCCCTCAAGGTTTTCAAAACGCGTATGTTAGGGAAAAGTTTCCACGTCCTTATATAGAATGCTTTGTTATTATCTCCAACCGATGTGGGATCTCACACCCATTGTCAAAAACAGCAGGCCAACCAGGATAGAATATAAAAGACACAGACTACCATATGATAGTTTAAATCTTCAAAACAAAGGTCAAAACATTCTGCTGCAAAAGATTTAGGCAATGAATGAATCAGTACCTTCAAATGATTTACTATTGTTTTAAGATTATCTTTATACTCTTCAACGGGTACGTGTAGTCTCCCAAGTCTTCCCCCCAAAATAGTGGCATCATTGGCCCCAAAGAAAACTGTCACCACAGCAGGGGCTCGTTTCTGCACATGAGTTAAGTAAGCTAAGCTAGTGTAAAGAACATATAAAGGATACTTCGAAATTTAGATCATAATGGTTCATTTTTAAAGTCTCCAAGGAGCATGGAAACACACAAAAACTAAGAGCGACGCCTCGTGAACTTGACTTCAAGAGACTATGCTTCAATTTCAGGCTACCAAAAGCTATAACCAATGTGTATGAAGTCAAATAATGAAATCATCAAAATCATCAAAAAAACGAGCTCCTAAGGAATGTACCACAATAATTTAGGGCAATATCGCACCAAGAAATCATCAAAATCAAAGCAGAGAAGGAACAGAAAGAGCACTAAAACACATACCGAGGAGAAAACATGAGGAAGTAAAATCAAAGCCCAGCGAGTATTGTAACCATCATAGCCACGAACAAGAACATCCGCCTGCGATTACGAAGACAAGAACCCAATTACGAACCCTAAAACTTCAAAAAAATCGAGTGAACTACAATATGAAAAGGAAGAATAGAAAACTCACCTTGCGAGAGTAAGTATCAGCAAGCGCAGCTCCCCATCCACCTGCACTGAAGGATTGCTCGGTTAAAGAATCACCAAATAGAACGATCTCGGGCCTCATAGTCTGTTCTTCTCCATTTCTTTGCAGATTGATCTTCACTTTTAAGCAGTCTGGTCGTGAAATTGAAGCTTCGTTTTGGATAAGATTGAATCCTTCTGCAAAACTGGGATTCGCCCATCGAAAATTATCAAACTGAAGTGACCAATATTTGTAGCATTGGAATTGGATTCTGAATTCTCTTATAGAACTTTAGCTCATTCTTTTTTTTTTTTTTTTTTTTAAATTTTATTTTATGATTTTCTCTTTTTATTTATAGATTTAAGAAACTAAACCATTGGGTAACTATTTATTTATTTTATTTTTTAATTTAATTTAGAAACTAAAAATCAATTTTTTTTTTGTTCTAAGTTTTGGTCATAAACATAAATAAAAGTATTTTGTCATCATTTTCTTTATTTCTAAAATGCATAATAAATACAACATTATTAATTTAAACATTTTGTTTGCTTTTTTGAGAAAGTTGACTATTTTTTATTCCGAGAACAAAATTGACTATTTTTTGTTTGCATAAAAAATTATCCAAGGACGTTGTAACAATATAGTCACCTCTAAAAAGATTCGAAATACTTTTACATGTTTTTAGACTATAATTACTGTTTCTACCGACATTGCTAGTGTTGGTGATACAACCGTCTAAATCTACCATTAATAGATACTATTCATTTTGACCTATTATGTACCATCATTAGCTTCATAGTTTTAAAACGTGTCTATTAGGGAGAGGTCTCCACATACTTAAGGAATGTTTCGTTCTCATCTCCAACCAATGTGTGGATCTCACAATCCACCCATTATGGGGCTCAGCATCTTCAATGGCACCCAGCCTGGTATCTGGTTTTGATACCATTTGTAACCGCCCAAGCCCACTGCTAAAAAAATATTATCCGATTTGGGTCGTTACATATCATCTTTAGCCTCACGGTTTTCAGGAATATTTCGCTCACCCGATCCCACAGTAAGTGCCAGCTAGAGCAGATCCCCCTTGTCCACCTGAATGGAAGGATAGTGCAGTCAAAGAATCCCAAAAATTCCCTAAGCTCGTTTAACTATTATTATTATTATTATTATTTGGGAATATATTATTTAATTTATTTTTGCACACATTAATCTTTTATTCCCTTCCTTTAAATATATTCTTAAGTATTATTTAAAAAATTTATTTCTATTTAGGGATTTACTTATTTTGTTATTAAGGAAACTTCACTTTTATTGGCAAAACCCCAAACTAAAGCATTTTCCGTTATATGGTAATTAAAGTTACATATTAATTATTATAACCCTATGTTTACTTTTATAAATATAATATAGATACACATCTGATTAATTAAATGATCACTATAGTTTATATTGAATTATATAATAAAGTTTCATTATTGGCGGGACCCGTCTTTTGATATATTTTAAATTATTCTATCCAATTATTTGGTTGGACAGCAATTAATTACCTACAAATATTGGCACCAATAAGTTAATTAATTAATTAATTAAAGTTTTTTTTAAAAAATTGTTATAAAAAAAATACTTTTATTAAGGTTACTTAAACTATATTGGTCGGTTCCGTATAAAATTTTGTTTATTATTTAAAATATTTGAATTGTAGTTTACTTTAAATATGATAATGATAATTACGAGATTAAATTGAAAATTGATGTATTTTTTTTATTTAATATTAGAACAAAATATCGAATTATTAATAAGCACAATTTTACTTAAATGGAGCTCGTTTATATTTTATTTATTTATTTTTTTCATTTAAATAATTAATTTGTAGCTTTATCTCTAATCTATTGCCTACTTTTTATTTTCTTATACATTTAAAAAAAATTTAAATTGATAATTTTTTATGCATGAAATGTTTCCAAAATAAAATAATACGACCTGACAATTAAAATTTATATATTTTTTAATGAGGTTTGCCAACCTTTTAATGAGTCAATTTTTAATTTTTATATATCAAGGTTTAAAAGTTAGTTATTCCAGATAATAGTTTAAGATAGGTTAAATATGAGAAATATAATTGAGATCGATGTGTATTCTATATTCATAATCTTTAAATACAATATAATCTACTAACTAACACTTACCAATAAGAAAAATACAGACTAATTCAATATTGATAATAAAATAAAATATATCAACAACAAAGAATATTAAGATATATTCCATAACTAATATAATTTCCAAATATTATATCTCAGGTATGGCGAGATCTTACATTGGTTGGAGAGAGAACAAAACATTTGTTAGTAGACACGTTTTAAAATGTTGAAGGGAAGTCCAGAGGAAAAAAACCGAAAGAGAATCCTGTATCATAAAAACTTCTCGCATTCTAAAACATTGAGGGAAAACTCGAAAATGAAAGGCTAAAGATGATAATATCTGCTAGCGGAAATCCATTTTAAAATATTGAGGGAAAGGTCAAAGATGACAATATGTGCTCATGGAAAGTCCAAAAAAGACAATATATGATAACGAAAAACTTAAAAGAGAACAATATCTATCAGCCTGTTTAAATTTATTTAACAAATTCTAATAATTTGACTTAAAAAAAATAGTCAAAATGTCACGAATCACATTCAAATTTGTTGACTACAAGATTATTTAAAGAGAATATATATATATATATATATATATATATATATTAAATTACAATTGACTCCAAGGATTATAATGACTTTTACTTGAATATACATATTTGATTAAATCTATATTTTTTCTATTACTGCAAATTGGAGTTTAAATCGAGTTATATTACCATACAGTTAACGTAACGTCAACGTCGAGTTAACAAGAGACTCTAGTGTAGAGATTATAATAAAAACGGCTTTTTAACTATCGTATTCAAATAAATTTAGGGATTACAATCTACTTTTTCATATTTTTATATCAATTTTGTAGACTGTGTAACAGTTTAGATATTATAATAAAACAACGTCTTAGCTGTCACTAATAAATAACTCTGCACAGATAATTAAAATGGGAACAGCTTCGACGCAGAAAGATAATATTTTTAAATATTCCACTTATATTTAAATATATCTTATACTTTAAGTGATTTTAAAGTCACAGCTTTCGACTTACGAGCTGTGAATAACTTGAGTCGACTTAGTCTATTTAAACTTACGTATATAAATATTATAAAATAATATAAAGAAGCATTTAACTTCTAGATATAGTACATAAAAAAAATTAGTTAATTATTAATATAATAATGAGAGGGGAAAAAAGAATTAATTAAATATAAAATAAGGAATTTTAAATTTTAGGACATTTCTAATTAGGGCATGGAGCTCCATAATTGGGCTGAAAATGGCGTGAGCCGGCGTGTTTGAGTGGCGTATGAAAATGGAAAGGAAGATTAAAAAGAGGGACACGTGGCAGAGGGATAGAGGAAGTACATACGTGGACATTCTAGAAATGGAAACAGCGAATAAATTCCCTCTCCTATGGCGCCGCGAGCTACGTGTCGGCGATCTATTCGACAAGACAACTTCCATGCGCCTTTCTACTAGTTCCACTCCTCCTGGATTTGGCGAGTACGAGGAAAGCTCTGCTCCACTCGAGAAGGAGCGCGTGGAAAGCACGCGCGATGTCGTATTAAAACGCACAACAAATCACAGACTCGGGATTCCCTGTCGGAGACCAACGGATTCGGATTTGATTTTAATGTAACGACATGTCGGCTGGAAAGAGCGAGTACGTAACATTTCCATACTCGCAACGATCGGCTCGAATTCATAGAGAAAAAAATATATATAAAACCACTAAGCGGTTTTGAAGTGCACACCGGTTTTGGCACAGACTGTTTAGCTTTCAATGGAAAACCACTTAAATTTTTTTTTTTATGGAAGCATATAATACAAGAAAACAAATAGCCAGAAAAAGGGTCTCTAGAGAGAGAAAAGAGGGGTTTTCTAGAGAGAGAAAAGAGGGATTTCTAGAGAGAGAAAAGAGGGATTTCTAGAGAGAGAAAAGAGGGGTTTCTAGAGAGAGAAAAGAGGGTTTTATTGAGAGAGAAATAGAAGAACACTTCTATTCTCCAGGAAAAAACCACAAGAAGAAAGAAGCAAATCCGCAGACCATGGAGCGGTAAAAAAATCCCATCTTTTTTGCCTCTTTTTTTAAGCAAATTTTCAAGTGTTCATCATTTTTTTCCAACATTTTTGGATTTTGAAGAGGGTTGTTGGGTTTTTTTTGGAGATTTGAGTGAAATTATTGAATAAAAAGTTGAGAAAAATTAGAAGAAAAAAAAGGAATGGGAAGAGGGAAGATTGTGATAAGAAGAATAGACAATTCAACGAGCAGACAAGTGACGTTCTCAAAGAGAAGAAATGGATTGCTGAAGAAAGCTCGAGAGCTTTCAATCCTTTGTGATGCCGAAGTTGGATTGATCGTTTTCTCAAGCACAGGAAAGCTCTATGATTATTCCACCACCAGGTCAGATCCCTTTCTCTCTCTTAAATTCTCTCTCTCTCTCTTAATTTTTTTTTTTTTTTTTAATTTTATGAAGTTTTATGAACTGGGTTTGCTTTGTTTTTTTTTTATACGATTTTCCATAATTTAATTGCAATATTAGATCCAATACCTCACTGCTTCAGATGCACCAAAATATAATTTTGTTATGAAAATATTTGTTTTAATTTTTTATTTTAATTTTTTTTTACCCTTGGAGTTTGAATAATAAATGCAACGGATCGAAACAAATGGTAAAAAATGGGAATTAAATTCGAAGAAAATTATAATTATTTCTGCATGTTTTTTTTTTTTTTTTTTTGCATGGCTATGTGTGTGTGTATATTAATCTTGTGAATTAATTGATTTTTTCTTCTTATTTTTGAAAATGTTTTTATTTTCCATTTTTTGAAATTTTGCTGTCTCTCTCTCTCTCTTCGCCAACTTCGTTCTGGTTCTTAATTCTCTCTCTCTTCAGATCTCTTTGGTGTACCTTTCTGAAATTCCGAGGAAGTGAGTGGTGGGTGATAGAGATTCTCTCTGAAAACCAATAAAGTTAATTATATTTATAATTATAATTATGAACATGCATTCGGCTTTTTGTTTATATTATATATATTTTTTCAGTCTTCAAATTTGATTTCCAGGAATTATCGTGTGGATTTTACGTAATTGTCATTTTCTGAATCTTTTGTTGATATATTTATATGTATTTTTTTTTTTAGTTTATGAAAACATATTCACGTTTGATGTTGTGTATAGTGTCAACTTATGTGATTCGATATTATTATTTTCTTTGTTTAAATTCATTTATTTTCTTACACATTTTTTTTAAAAATAAATTATTTAAAATACTAATTTTTTTACTCAAAACTTTCTTCTTTTACACTTGGTTTAATTTTTTGTCTTCAATATTTTATGCGTTGGAATTAAAAATATAAGAATTGAATTTATTAGGAGCACGTCAAATCAAAGATTAGCTGAAATGTATGTGTACATGCATGTATTTGTAGTTCAGTAAGATGGAAAATAATTTGAATGGAGGGCTTGAGTTAGTTACATATGAATATTTATTTATTTATTTGTGTTTCATTTAAAGGGAAACTAAGCTTTATTTATATTTAGAATTATGAAAACTATTTGATAGTTTTCATTTACAAGCAGTGTTCTGTTCTAATAAGATTTATCATTAACAAAAGTGTTTTTCTATATTTTTAGAAAATATTTTATAATTTTATATCAATATCTGGTATGAAATATTGTGAAGATGAATTGTCTTGACAATAGGGGCCAAAATGTTATACTATAAAACTGTATAAAATTGAAGAACTAATCACTATAAATAAGTTTGTTTTTCTTCTCAAATTTAGGCAACACTATTATTGTCTTAGTTTCAAATATTTACTTTTTTTTTTCTCCTTCAATTATACACATACAATTTCAAATTACAATAACACGATCAAATAACATTCCCCTGACAAAAAAAAAAAAACTATTTTCGAGATTAAAAAATAGAAGGATGAAGAATCAAAATCATCTTGATTTTAAGAATAGGAATAGGGAAGAAAGTTGAGCTCTAAAATCTCATGATTAGCTTCATGTGAAAAATGCTAACACGTAAAAACAATGCGACAAGAGAGTGTCTGAACTGGTTTATACACGTACCTCAACTATTCTTACACGACCACCTGTCTTAACCACTATGATTTAAACTCATTTCCTTTTCAAGTATTTTTGCCTATTAAGCCAGAAAAGAAAAGGAAACAAGAAAATAGAACAAAAATTTCCATCTATTCTTGCAGATGTTTATTTATTTATTAAGTAGGAATAAGAGATAAGAGTACTATGCTTGCATCTATCTATATCTAATTGGTTTTCCCTTTCTGTACACTAAGTTACAAAAATCATTTATTAGGCATTGTTGCTATGTCATATTAAAACACGATAATCAGAATCAAGCTATCATAGCCTTCTAGCAACACAGATCACAACCCTTACCAGAAAAAATACGGCATAAATTGCAGCTAAGTTCGGAAAATTGTACCGATCCATCTTCGTAACATCTTTGTACAAAGTTCCATGGCTTCTGAAAGAAAGGCATTGAGATTCTCTTTCTAATTTGAAATATTATGTGAAATAGGAGTTTGGGTGAGTTTCAATAACTGACAAGCACCCAAATTCGACGTGCTTATATGAGATAGCGAACAAACTGATCACTCTACAGCATGCTATGAGCAGATTATATTCACAACTCACGTAATAAATCCTTATGATGGTGACATGGCAATTAAAAATTCCAGATTTGATTTCAGGTGTGGTTATGAACTGAATTAACAGTTTCTATCTTATCAGCATAAGATCAATTACCGATCGTTACTACAAGGTGAAAGAGGAGCAAAATCAGCTGATGAACTCTGTTTCAGAACTCCAGGTAAAATCTTCATTCATCTGCAATTCCAGTTTCTGCGTTAATTTAAACTCATTAAACTAAACATCCGCATTTTTTCTGTACTGTGAATATAACATTCCCACATGAGTGTTTCTCAAAGATGATTCTTTCAAAGGTGAAATTCAATTAACAATGATAGGGATGAAGCAAGACAAAAGGTCAAAGACATTAAGAAAATAACTTTTGTGATAGATTCTTGATCCCTGATACAGAATAAGAGGAATTTCTAGTGTTGTGATATTCAAAAAGTTTATAAAACTTGCATCCATATGAATTCACAATAGGCTTCCCTAACACTTTACATAAGAAGATAATAGAAAGGAGAAGTAAGAAAGCATGGAGAGGTCAAGCGGGGGTCGTAGTACGAACGATTGATTAAAGGAAGGATCCACGTAACTATGTAAGAAGTGTTTTAAGTAGTTGTGGGCAGTAGAGAAAGGGGGAAGAGCCTAGAAGGTTTTATGGGAGTAAGTGGATCCCTAGAATTCTCCTAAATTGTACTTCACTTTTTCTTACAAATGAAACTACTACTTTTGATCCCATCAAAACGTTATCAAATCTGTGTCAGAGGAGTGAGTTCGTTGAGGAATAAAGCAAATAAGATAGAGAATCAAAATAAAGCTATGTAAAAGTTCTCCAAAGTTCAGAGGAATTCCTTAGTTCGAAGTACAATGGGTGTTGAAAATGAGATGCACACTTGAGCGGAGGAGATGTGGGAAATGAGATGACACCAATGAAGAAATGTGGCGCAGATTAAAATCGATTGGAGACAGCACTAAGAAGAGAAGATTAAGGCAAGAATTCTTATGTAAGCCACAACAATAGCTAAAAACCGAGTTAAACATGGAGAAGAAATAATGAAGGTTTGAGGTACTGATTATTAAAGAATAGGAGTTAGACGGCATGTTCTTTAGTGAAGGTCAATAACAGCCCTCAGTTTCAGAATACTATCCCCTCAAGTCAAGGTTCCCTCATCTGTATTCATGTAATAGAGATCGACTAAATGGTTTCCTTGATTTTCATTATTCAAAGGGTCAATTTTAGTTTTGGACCTCCTGTGGCCACCAAAATGTCTTTACCGACAATCCTTTGTACAATCATCTAACTTATTCTCCTTCTCTATAGTCCCCTTCGTTCTTCCCTAAACTGTGGAAGAACTTGAGTTAGCTGAAGTTACCGCTTCTTTTTTATTGTTCGCGAGTGTTTGATGTTGGGAGTGAGCATTGACTAATTTAGGGAATGATCATGAGTTTATAAGTAAAGGAATACATCTCCATTTGTATGAGGCCTTTTGGAGAAACTCAAAGCAAAGCCATGAGAGCTTATGCTCAAAGTGGACAATATCATACCATTGTGGAGAGTCGTGATTACTAATATGGTATCAGAGTCATGCCCTAAACTTAGGCATGACAATAGAATCCTCAAATATCAAACAAAGATTGTGAGCCTCGAAGGTGTAGTTAAAAAGTGACTAAAGTGTCAAACAAATGGTGTACTTTGTTCAAGGGCTCCAAAGAAAGGAGTCGAGCCTCGATTAGGGGGAGGCTATTCGAGAGCTCCATAAGCCTCAGGGGAGGCTTATAGTGTACTTTGTTCGAGGGGAGGATTGTTGGGAGTGAATCCCACCTTTGCTAATTTAGGGAATGATCATGGGTAGTAAAGGAATACATCTCCATTTATATGAGGCATTTTGAGGAAGCCCAAAGCAAAGCCATGAGAGCTTATGCTCAAAGTGGGCAATATCATACCATTGTGGAGAGTCGTGATTACTAACATTTGAGTCAGCTTTGGACAACTCAACTATTCTCAACCCTAAACAATATTTGGTTATCAATGTAATTCATAGGATATTAAATCTTAAAAAGATGACCACCCTGACTTAACCAATTCTCTTAAAGTCTATTGCTATTAACATGGTCCAATATTCATCAATTTAACGGATTAAGAAGTCCAAACTCTTGCAACATTGTTTTCTCCCTATTAATTGATCATAGCTCACGCGAGAGAGGGCTAACATATAGGTTTTATTTTCCTGGCTGTTTTTTCTCGATCGTCAGCCATTAGGACTCCTAATACATTCCAAGTCTGTCAGTCTGTTTTGTGATCCTCGTGTTTTGGGTGTGCTGGTTTTGCCTCTTTTTTTTTTCTTTTTTTTTTCAAGTCAACACTCATTCCAAGGCCTATCTCCAGAAACATTAGAGGTTTTACCTTGCCTCATACTTTCACTCATAAAAAAGGAATAATGTATTAGACATTGTAGAACCCCTATGTTGTAACTTTTTCAAGCTTGGAGGCACCAAGAAATCTAAAATAAACTTCAGACAATGTATTATCTACATAAACGTTTTAGGTACCACCAAGAAAATTATTTAAAATCAAGGATATAGACTATAGTCTAGAAGAGGAATGACAAAGAAAATAAATGCATTTCCCCAAAATTGGTAATTGCAGCAGTATCTTATCCTTAACAGCTTTTTTATCCCTTAGTGGCAATATATCTCTTTTCACTCAAAAGAGAAGTAAAATTCATGCCTTTCAAATAGATTAGTTAAAATTATCCAAACTTGTAACTTACCATGCTACAAGTAAAACTGCAATGCTGATCATCTGTTCTATAATTGCTAGTTTTGGAAAAGAGAGGCAGCAGCTTTGAAGCAACAACTGCATTACTTGCAAGAATGTCACAGGTACTCCAACCCTGCTGTACTCTAAATGTAATACAAGGAAAAAAAGATCAGCCAAAAAATGTTTAGGGAGCATAAGCTTTCAAATGTATGTTTAACAATAGCTAAATTTTAGTTTTCAGTGCTATATCTCATCAGAAAATTACTGAAGAACCCCCGTAGACTTGAACGAAAAATCTAAACAGTGCCCATGTAGAAAGTAGTAAAATTCCTTAAAAGATATTTTGTCTCCAAATTTAGAGTTCAAATAACTTGCAAATGAAATTAATTGAACTCGGAATAGAGATCCTAAATTAATCCGTTCCGAAAAAATTTCACAATATTGACATGCTTTTTAAAAAACAATATTTAAACGCTGAAAACTTCTCAAATGTACCCTATTAAGGTTTCAGCCTGTCACTACTATTATATCAAGTAGTGAGCAAAACCCATATGTTCCTCTATTTCACAGGTCATTCACAAGAAACCAAACTTTTCTTTTGCCAATCCAAGTGCAGAAATATTAGATATGAGGAACAAGAAAAATGTACGAGTTAATTTAGGGGCTAAAAGGATAAACATTTCTTTCTACTACGCATGTTCAAATGATTCCAATTCAAAGAATCAAGTAAAGGATAACTCAACATAGATAATATCAATAGTTATTCCAACTAGGAATAGAGCACACGTGAACAAAGGAACAATAAATTTTTTACAGAGACTAAGAGATCTTAGGAAGAAGTTTGTCCCTTGTTAGGTTTCATATCTCTTTCTAGGCTTGGTGTATAAATATTTGTGTAGTTATCTTCTAGGTTTTATTTTGGTTGAGTGAAGCCCTTTGTTATTTTTATTGCATGTAGGAAACTTTCGTTATAAGCTTGAATGACAATCACATGCCGAAAAGACGTGTGAATATTAAATGATCAAACATGTAGACTACAACATTCATAATATATAAATTTGATGTTTGCATACACAGAAGATATGTAAGGGACCATTTAACCTAAGAGTTGCATGATCGGTACAAGAATGGCTCAGAGCATAGTGACGATGAATCAATCCTTGAGGGAAAAGAAAAATAATCAATTACATACTAGTGTACGAAGAAATAAGTTGACAGGTGTAGGAGGGTCTTTTATCTAGGTGGTTAATTTTCTGTTGGGAGCAACACAACAATAAGATGCGTGGAGAAAATTCTACAGTAGGGAAGAGTGGAGTAGAACTCAGGACTATCAAACTTCCTGGGCAGTTCATAGCTAGGAGCTTGTATATTGTACTGCAATTTGCAAATCAAGAATGTTATTGGATTACTGTAATCCTATAGATTCCTGGACTTCTATATGAGAACCAATCAGGTATGATGGATTCCTGGACTTCTATATGAGAGCCAATTAGGTATGCTTCAACAGAATACTGATACAACTATGACGAGGCATACCAAAGAAAACCCCCACGATGGTTTATGCAAAGGCTTAGCTCATCCTCAGTGCTTGACCTCGTGCATTTTCTCTACACAAAACCATTTGTTGATTTCAAATTTGGGTCAAACTCCATTATTTCGTCCTTTTTTTGTACCTTCCTTCATGAGCAAATATCCAACTGAGAGCACTGGCATATCAAATATTATATGGCTCTAAATCCCTTTTCAATCTTCTGTTCTACAAAACTTTGTAAGGTAAGCGGGAACGTCAAAATATATTCTAAGTATGAGTGACAAGCATCACATGATTCTTGGTCTGGTAAAACTAGGCTGATGATTTGATCATCATAAAAGGTGTACTCAACATTTTACTAACACCATAAGTTGCCATCCATGATCTATATCATAACTAAGACGTGCTAATTACTGAGATAAAATTATAGAATGCAAGCCTGATCCATTGGAAATGGTAATATAATCCAACACTTCAAACAAATACGCAAAAGAATTCATAATATATCTTGTGCTTCTATATTTGCAGACAATTGATGGGCGAAGAACTATCTGGCCTGAGTGTCAAAGATCTACAAAATCTAGAAAACAAGTTGGAAATGAGCTTGAAAGGTGTCCGTGTAGAAAAGGTATAAACTATGAAGAGATCTCAAATAGAAACATTCACCTGATAAAGCCTCTTGAATACAGATGTTTACTTCTTGTATTTACCTTGCAGGAAAAGATTTTAAGGGATGAAATTACGGAACTAAGACAGAAGGTTTCTCCCCATTGTAAACATCCATGTTATCTGATGATATCAAGTACAGTAACATCAGCTGACTTGCTATAATTATGTTGCAGGGGAATCATATGCATCAAGAAAATGTGGAACTATACAAGAAGTTAGATATGATTCACAAGGAAAATGCAGAACTGCAAATGAAGGTAGAGTTCCAAACTTTTTTTCAATTGCTTCAATGTGAACAACTTCTTCAAAAGCTACTCTTGTTTAGTCATAAGATTTTTTTAGTTCGACAGCGGGAGTTCAATTGTCCTGAAAACGGACTTTTATTTCCTGTTAAATAAGCTTATTGGTGGGTTTTTTAAGTATATCAGGTTTATGGACCAATGGAAGTGGATAAAACGAGCAGTAGCTCAACTCAACAATTCACTATCACCAATAGATACAGTATGCCTGCTCTACAGCTAAGACAGCCACAACCACAAAACAGTGAAACATCAGTACCAGGGATAAAGCTGGGGTATGTTCTAGTAATCTAAGTTCATGACATATGAATTAAATTGCAATCACATTCATCTGAGTATCAATATGTACTAGACAACTTTTTCTCCCAAGCTGAATAGATATAATTGAAACTTGCAACAGATTGCAACTGCAATAACAGCAGTTAGATCATGGATAATTTATCCATGGTCATTTCTTCAACAACTCATCATACAGTATGAATCATGTTCAACATGAAGGTGTCTCCTGCTTCCGTTTTCACCAGATCCCTCACATTTGGTATGCAATGTTCTTCAAACTCTATATATGCGATAAATTTAGCAGCCAGACCAGCTACCTATGTAAGTTTACAAATAATGACAATGCACCATGTGCCATGTGTTGTTCTAGCTGTTATTAAAAGTTTGTTGTGTTAATTAATTAGACCAGACTCCTGATGCCTATTAGCTGAATGAAAATTAATGTTCATACAATCTTATATAAGGTGGTACTAAGTTGGTAGATACTGAATTGCATATGAGATGTCTAAAATCTGGGCTTCCTGTTGTTGAGTTGCCAAAACCAACCACTGGTCCTTTTATCCTAAAAAAGTTGGCTGTTTTGAGGGTCCATTCACATCCTTTGCTAATATTACACTTGCGTGTGTTTCCAAACTTTACTATAATGATTAATGAATGAGATTCAGCAATGTAAAGAAGCTACAAGACTACGGAATTTTAAACCAGTAAAAGAATCTGAAACAAAAGTTCTCTCAGTTCACTTTTATCATCACCAATCCTCAAAACTTGAGCTGTTAGCTTATGATTAATTTAATCTAATGTTTTAATCATTCTGTAATCTCTCCCTGGCATACCCAACTTCCAGTAATATTATATAAAAATGTCAATCCATAATGCCTTTGTATTTTGTAATTAGGATATATTACATGTTTTTCCCAGAATTATGTTACGCCTCTAAGGGTATGTTTGCTTCTTTAGGGTGGTGTTCGCTGCTCAGTTTGGATTCTCCTTTTATTAGCATACAAGTTGTTTCTGTAGAAAAAGAAATCTAATTCCTTCAGCTTCATGGTAATGTGGAACCCTCTCACAGGACCTCTGGATTTCCACAGAGAGGATATGGCATCACGTCATTACATTTGTTGTTATTATGTGGTTTTATAATAATGGTTTGAAGTTTCATTAACATTTGAAACTAATAATCAATTTATGAAGTATGCATATCTCCTGCAATCACTAGTAGTTATATAATCCATAATTTTTCCTTCAGCTTTTCAAGCATAAGAACACATACTAGCTTTCTTTCTCAACCATTTGATTCTCCTAATCGCATACCTACATTCTTAGTTCTAGAGTGGTCCATTTTTCCATGAACCAAATGACACCTAATGGAAAGGAATGTTCATTCTATCTAACCTCTTCCCTTGCATACTTGCGACACCATATCATAACAAAAGGAATATAGTAAAACATATTTTTTAATAAAAAAATTATTATTATTAGATATAATAAATTTAACCTTCTGGATAAACAAGATAATAACAAATGTCAAGATATATCATTCACAATCCTAAACATCCTATGGCATGATCGTCAAATACTAACATAAAACATAAGATAACTATTTTCAATTATTTAAGAACTTTGTCACTTTAAATACAAGAATAAATGTAATGTGGATCAGCAAAAAAAGATGATATCTCTGATGATATAGAATTTTATGTATTATGGATTGATGCTGTAACAAATGTAACTTGTATTCTCTCTAGTTGGAAGTTAAAAAAAATTTACATACATATATGATCATCCTTTTATGGATGTAATATTTGTATTCTATCCAATCATGCCTACAATTAGTTGTAATTTTTACTTGAAACATGATGTTTCTTATCTAAAAAGTAAAAGCTGAGAAAACAAAGACATTTGTGCACAAGATTATACATGCACCTATTACACAATTTCATTCTAACCAGAAATAAACTTCAAATTAATTAGTAAAGTAGAAGTCAAAAGTATACAGCATATAAACGAAGAACTTGGGCTTCTTACAGATAATAAAGTATGTAGGATATGCAATATAGTGGAAATCATAAATCCAGCCATGTCCCATAGCCCAATGTCAGGGTTAACACAGAAAAGAAATCACCAGCAATAACATGAGTGATAAGCAATTATGACCCACAGGTAAATAAGAATAAGGTGGAAGGAAAACATAGAAAAAACCACCCAAGAAAATGCAGAGTGAATAAATAAATATTGCTCCTTGAATCACAAACAGGTCCAGATTATAACCATGTACAGCTCTACTGCTAATGTACCTAACTGGTAACATGCGTAAAAACCATGAATTCAATATTAAAAGAAAAGGCTCACTCACACCTCATTTAGCCAGATATTTCAACTAGAATCATGCTTTACTTAAACCAATTAACGAGTGAATATTACAAAAGCAAGAAAATAGCTATTACATATCAAAGACAACAAGAATCTAATTTTGAATTTAGCATCAACCACATTTAATAGCTTGCAACAACATTTAAGCCTTTTCCACATCTAAAATTAATACAATCTTTATAAATTGGTTCAATATAAACTTAAGCCCTTGTTCATAAACATACTCAACCCCTTACCTTTTGAAGAGAGGTACGCAACCTAAAATTTATGTGTTACTGGGTGAAATATTGTATACCAGCAAGCTAGTGCATCTTTTAGGCACTAAACTTTCCTGTACATACACAAGAATAAACAGAGCATCAACAGCCATTTCTATTTGCCATTTATAGTATGTGGTATGACCTTGCTAGAGAGATATCAGTAACTCATAAATTTTAAAAATAAATCAAGCTGGGTAGATTTGATCTATGAAACGGAAGGATAAAATCATTAGATGATTAATGTAAAAAAATCAGGGAATTATCAAGAGATAAAGGAAAAGAACTCTCAGACCTAATCAAATTTGAATTTGTAAATCAAGAGATAAAAGAAATAAGACTCCTTGGGACCTTACTAATAGCACTAAAGTCCTTGATTTCAAAAGCTCAAAAGAAGGCGGCCCAAACACTACCTAGAGAAAAAAGCACATCAACAGTAGTGGATTCAAGCCAGAAAACACTAAATGGATCCGTAGAACTGTGAAGGGTTCTACAATATTCTGCCTTCTCAAGGTTCTTCTCTATTCTTTGACTTCTAATATCGTCTTTTGATAAGATACCTCCATTACAACGTCAATTCAGATGGTCATAGCCACCAACTTCTTCAATTAGCCAAAAATATTTTAAATATATACCTGTATAATGTATAGAAATACTATATACATTTCCCACATTACAACTGGTCCTGAAAGATAATGATTATATCTAATGAAAACAGTGCTATTAACAATTTAAGAAATATAAGAAGAGACATTGAACTCACTAAAAAATGATATGCATGTTAACCATCCATCGTATAAGCACAAGTAATAATATTAACAAAAAAATAACAAGAGTCCTAAAATTGGTAATTAAGGTCCATATTTAACATTTAGAAAAAATATAAAAAATCCTTACATAAAACTTGGAACGAAGTGTCTAAGGTACAAGCAGGCAATAACTTACTGTATGAGGTTACTGCCATTGCAGGGTGCAACTATGATCAGTTAACAAAACAAAAGATAGCTAATGGTACGCATTGAGTGCAAAACTAAACAGGAATATTAAATCATACAAGATAATGATAAAAATCCTACAGATATAAAATGCAGATTTACTTTCAGAACATGTCTGCAAACTCATAATTTCATCCGCTGGCTTTCAAATATGATGAATCTTCTATAATCTTATCACAAGTTCTGCATAGACAATTGTCTTCTAAACATCAAAGGTAAAAGACAATAGCACAGACAACAGGCTACTTGAAATTCACTCCTATATGACAATTCCTTCCATTGTGCACTTCGTGTCTTAACATCCAGTTCCAAATTCACGAAAACGCATAGACGTCAATGAGTAAAATTTCAAACAAATAAATATTGTAAGGGCACCTTTGGTTTCACATTCATTTACGTGGTGGCCAGCCATCAGCAGCCCGAGATTCCACCTATCTTACGTCACAATTTTATAAGATAATGAGAAAATATTGCGTATGTAGGTTGCTAAATTATTTTTTTAGAAATGAATGATCCGTAAAAAAATAGCGTGGATGCAATATCCCTGAGGCTGCATTCTGTGAGAAAATCAGACAGCTCGTCATGCAAGTGAAGTATAAAACATTTAAGCAAGAACATTATACACATCGCGTCAAAATCCTGAAATAAACAATAATATAAGTCTTAAATAGTTCATCTAAGAATCATCCGATGCCAGTATCCCAGCCATGCATCCATTACATACAAAGAAACTCAACTTCCGTTACAAAAAACAACACACAACGATCAAAAATCAAGATCATCTACTACGAAAGGCAGAAAACATTCATTACCACCATGAAAAAAAAAAAACAGAAACGCCGAAGTAATCTGTACTCATTGAAAATGAGAAGAGAACTGAGAAAACGACATTACCTGGAAGCGCAAAGCTCTCGTAAAGAAAGTGAGTGATCGAGCACCGAGCCAGAAAACCGCCACATGGATGATTCTGAACAGGAACACAGCACAAAACCTATAAAGCAATGAAGAACTCCAACGAGGGAGAACAAAGAAGAGAATCGACTGCAGAGAACCTGGACGCGATCGATTTTCCATGGGACTTTGATCTCTCTTTTTCCCGCGGATTCAGATGGAAATCAGAACTCTCACCGCGACGAGGAGAGAGAAGAAAATATCTCGTCCAATTCCGGAAAAAATTAAATAAATAATGTACGAGTTTAAATTCTCTGCATCCAAAACTACGAAAAGACAATTAGATTGATACAGCTGGCGCATTTTGAAAGGTTGAGTTAAAAATTAAATGACAGATTTTACCCCAAGTGGGGGAGTGGAAGTGGTTCTGGGAGTACATTAGTGGAAGGAATTGATATTACAGGGCCCACATTCGAACACGTAGGACACCATGAACCGGACAAATCGGACAAAAGTGAACCAAATTGACAAGTTGTTGTTTTCGGGATTAGTGGAGGTGCCGTAATGCTTTGGCAAATGTCAAAAAAAAGGAAATGTGTTGAATTAAATTTTATATTTGTTTTATTTTATTTCTTAGGTCTATTAAACAATATTTTTAATTTTTTTTCCTTTTAATTTCAACAATATTCACACACATAAAATTTGATGCTCAAGCGTATATATCCATTAATTATTATTAATTATGTTTGTTTTAATTACAGATCGATTATTAATTAATTATATTTTCACTTTTATTTATTGATATTGATAATATCGACTATAGAGAACTGAACTATATCTTTTCGTACATTGTTACATCATTTTTCAAAGTTATAATTAATACAATGTTTGGACCCGATTTTATGTCTTTTATAAGTTAAGTGGACAGGGATGCAATAATTATCTTTAGTAATTTAGCATTATGTATATTTGATTCACGCTTAATTTCAATTTTCTGTTAACTACTTGATTAAATTTCGAAACATTTTTTTTATTAAGTTGTAACAAAATGTCGTATTTTTTTATATTCACTTATTGTGTTAGTGGGTTGTTTGGGTATAATTTCTTTTCTTCTAAACGGCGCCATGATTGAAGAATACTTGTTGAATCGACAATAATGCCCTTCCAGTCTTTACATATAAAAACATTTTCAAGTACTCAATTGATGTGAAAAGATTTATATTCATATGATTTGATAATCTGACCGTTTCGAGTTATCCAGTCTAAACCATAAAAATTTGGGTTGGATCATATTTTTTTGAGTTCGGGTTGAGTTGAATTTTTGAAATAAACAATTTGAGCGGGTTTGAGAGTTATCGAACTAATAAATGAAACAAGGTTATAACCTAACCCAACTCTACTGTGCTTCTAACATTATCATGAAAATTACGAATATTTAACATTTGCAACGGATGCTAACATAATATTATGACTTGTAAACATTTGATATTTGAGTTTTATGAGATTTTATTTTTATTTTAATAATTAAAAAAAACAACTAGACATTTGAAATCAAGGATTGAAAATAGAAGGTTGTTATGAAAGATTTTTCCAACTTAATCCAAGGCACAGTCGAATTAAAAGACAACCCGACCAGACAATTTAAAAAGGAATATGAAGCATTTTAATTTAAAAATATCAGAAATTACTTCGTTAGGTTGTTTATAGATGGACATTTCATAGCTACCCCGCTTGGCTTTCGCTACCCCTTGTAAACTATTTTTGACTCTTTTCTGGCACCAATCGACAGTGACCTGGCCGCGACCTGGCCGCCAAAACCTTCAATTGCAAGTCCCATTGGGAAAAGATTTTAAAATGGATCCAAGTCCAAGCGCAATAGACTGGAATCTCGTCTGCTTATGAACAAATTTTTAAAAATTGTTCGTGCCTGGAGGTGATCTAAACGTTCTTATACAGCACTGCAATTCGATTCCAAATAGTTTCAAACTTCCCAACTTGGCTATGAGAAGGAAGCTTCCTCGAAAGACGACAACCAGAAGAACAGGTCTTGTTTAATCACCTCTGTCAATCACGGAGCACTTCATATTGGTGAAAGTCCACGTGTGTGTTGAATTTTCGCATCGATTTCATGTTTCGTAACCTACGTGGTGGTTGAATGGCCTTTGACAAGGCTGTGAAGGTAGTTCTCGAAATTTGGTAATTCGCCTTTTCGATTTTCTTTTTTTCTTTCAAATTTTCTGCTCGATGTTTTCGGGATAGGGTTTTCGAGTCATACCAGGAGGTAAGTCTGTTTGATTTCTGATTCCGTTGCATAATATATCTAATTTGTTATTCTGGTTGCTCCAGTGATTTCACTGCGATTCTTCTTAACTCGTTATTCCATTGATTCCCTGTTGGTACCTTTGAAAATGGTTCATATGAGTTGTGGAATCTTGCTTTATTCAAGATAGGGGCAAGTGTTTTTTTGTTGCCTTTTTCATTGGGTTATGTTTCTCTCGGCCTTTGTGTTTAGATCTAAGTGGAGTGACGGTTTTATGTCAAAATTAGTGGGGGGAAATTAGAACAGCTTGCTTGAATTTGGCTCGATGGGGATTTTGATTCGTGGTATTTGAAATTCCAGAACAAATACATGGAGCTTGCTAATGCGGAGACTGTTGCCAATGGGGAATTGGATGGAATGGAAAGAGAGCCTTCAGCGCGCCTTCTTTTGCGGGAGGCTGGTCTGTCCCGTACGCATTTTCCGGGAATGGTGAGGAAGAGAGCATATATATTTGATGGAAATGGCAACTATTATAACAAGGAATGGGATCTTACTGAGGGTAGAGGAAAGGAGTTTTGTTGGTATCATGTAGAACTTCCGAAAGGCAATCAAAAACTGGCCCAATCTGCTCAGTATCTCATTGATGTTCTTTGCCCGCCTTTGAAGCTTCAAGATATTCTCTCCCTTGTAAGCAATGGTCCCTTTTGTGGACATGTTGATGGGGCTCTTGTCTTCAGAGTAAATTCACCTGGCCCTGCATCTTGTGACTTTACATTCAGAATTGCTGCTAGAATTACCGAGCATTCTGTCATCACCGTGTCATTGGGACGTGTTCCGAGATTAGGATTCTCACCGGTTGGTCAGTCTCTTCTCTCGGAGGTTCCTAGTGTGGAGAGCCCCTCTCACTTAAGAGGTGAGCAGAGAGAAAGTGGGAGTATTGTGATTAGGGAGCATGTTCTTGAATTCCTTTTGACAATGAATCACTCAGAGGAGGCTGATAATCCGGTGCCAGCGTCCCTCTCAAATCTGGTTGTTCATATTATCGATACACACATGGATCATCTTCAAGATGTTGTGACGAAGCTCGAGATTGAGTTGGATTCTGTGGAGCTTGAAATGGATAGAGGTACCTATAGTTCTTTCTTTTTCTTTCTAAGAGTATAATATAGATGCTCTTGTAGATACAGAATCATTGGCCAGATGAAATATTTTTGTCAAGAACTTAATGTGTAAATGTATCGTTCTCTAAAAGTCGAGTACCATAAGTCTATCATAATAGAAGTCTTCCATTGTTGTTAGGTGGATTCGCTTTAAAAAAACAAATGCTCGATGACCGAAGATTCCCCAAAATGAACCTCAACTTGCAGCGGCTCCTGCAGGTAGCATCTCAGTTCATTTTCTCAGTACTCTCTCCTGTTTTCCAAGACTATGGCAAACCGGAGCTTTCAGAGTTGTGTTTCTTTGATTTTTTTAATATGTCACTTAACTCTGGAAAGTCTTATCTATTTATGCCTTTGAAGTTTACATTTTGTGTCATGGTCCATCTCGTTAACTCGTAAGTTTAGCACGTGTGCCGCAACATCAGCCTACTATATTAATCTTCAAAGGCCTATAGAAACTTTTTAAAATATAGGAACGACATAAACCACAACCTTGAAAATCAAGAAGCTTTTTGAAGCACAAAGACTAATTAGATACAATCCTGAAAGTTTATGGATTAAACTTGTAATTTAATTAATTTCACGAGAGTTTTGAAAAGAAAATTGATTACACGAGGTAACATTGTACGTGATTTTAGACTGACTGTTGACCTCTTGCTTTGCTCGTCAAGGAATAAGTGATTTGAAAACCGAGTCTCTGTTGCCATAACATAGAGAATGAATTTTTGTATAAATAGAAAATGGATTGAACTATATGATTGAAGCATAATGTAGGAAATACAGAATGCAACCATTGTATATTGGAAGAAGATGTTTGGGTATTCGTGGAATCGTCTTCACGCGTTTTAATCTACTATTACGTACTCATCTTTTTGTATGCGTTTTTGATTGAACGCAGGTGATTGCACATGGGGAACAAGTCTTTCCACGAGTGAAAGAAAAGTGTTCTTCTAAACATTGGTTTGCCAGTGAAGACATCAGCTCGCTCGAGGAATTAATTGGACGTTTACGACGATTGAAAGAGAATGTTGGATTCATTGCAAACCGTGTCACCGCCATTCAGGCTGGTCTCGATAGTTGGCAAGCTGAGCAAATTAACAAGAAACTCTATTATCTATCGTTTCTTTCAATCATATTCTTACCTTTATCTGTCATAACTGGAGGTACTGACCTCTTTTTAAAAATAGTCTTTAATTTCAGTTTTCACCATGATCTGTTTGGCGAAACTCATCCTAGTGTCTTGGAACCGCCCTTGCAGTATTCGGCATGAATGTTGGTGGAGTACCATGGACCGATCAGAGAAATCCAGAGTTGAAAGACGGGTTTCGTAACGTCATGTTTCTTTGTGTCGCAATGCTACTACTCGTGTTGCTCTGCTTCAGTTTCCCAGCTCTTTATACCTACATAGCAGCATGGCATCGGCGGAGGAAGATGAGAAGGAGCTGGTCTCTCAACAGAAAGTCCTTTCTGAAGAGAACTATGAGAAATGGGGATGATAACAGGGGAGGAGGTTATCTTCGGATTTGATGATAAGCGCCATCCTCACTGAACAACACGACTTTTGCGAACCCAGCATCTCGGTCTCGATCTCGATCCCAGATGATCTAAGTCAAACCATTGATCTACAAAATCGTACATCGCTACTGTATCGTCCTCCCATTCCCTGGGAGACTTGCTTAAAAGAATTTGGTTGCAGTTTGTTTCAGGTCAATGAGGTTAGCCAGTCTTATCCTAACATGTTTTATTCCACATTTGTAAGCTTTTGACATGTACAGTTTCTTTTATTCTCTTCTTCCTTTTTCACTCTCAGAGATTTGTATGGAAACACTGTTAGGCATTGTTTATTTCTGGCAAGCACCAATGCTTTTATCAGTTCCTTCTCAGGTACTCACGCTGCTATACTTAACATTCATGGAGGATATATTCTGGTGTTATTGAGCTAGTTGAAAAATGTAAACATGTTGTCTTCAAGTGTTGGCATACAAATGTTGTAAAACAATGTACCAAATGGAGATTCAAAGCTCTAATCCTTTTTTATTACTAAGTTTTAATGACAATTTAAACATAATATTTGATAGGAAGTCGAGGGGTCGAATCAATACCTTACGTTTAACATTCAGCTTTTATACGTATGATGCTCATTCGGATATTTTTTTTAGTCTTTCTTTTACATCGCATTCAATGGAGGACTTGTCAATTCGTTCGTTGTTAGTTTGCGTCTACCGTACAAAGCTTTCGAGAATAGGCTGGTTCCTTTTCTAGCTCGCCAATTGTTTGATTTAGAGGTTGGGACAAGCCTCAAGAAAGTATAGGTTGGCTTCGAGCTCCTCCCCAGTCGGCATCCTGTTTTCAAGGGGGTGAAGTCCTACATATATGTGCTTGTGTGTGTGTGGTCGGGGTGAAGTCCTATATATATGTGCTTGTGTGTGGTCGACATCCTATCCTCAAAGCGGTGAAGTCCTATATATGTGCTCATGTGTGTGTGTTCAACAACGCGCCAAGTGGAGATTCAGAAGTCTAATTTTTTCCTAGTCTTCCATAATCTAAACCTAACATTCAATAAGAGGTTGAGGGTTTGAATCAATAACTTACATTTGTAGATCTAACAAAATATATTTTACGGGCATATTGCATTATAATAATTAAAATTAAAAATTAAAATCACATCCAATAATCACGATTAATTCAAGCATAAGTTGACTAAGTAAAACACTGATTTATCTAAGTTGACTAGATAAAACATTAATTTATCATTTAAGAGGTTGATAATTTGATATTCTCCTTATCATTATTGAACTAAAAAAAATATTAAAAATGTATAATAAATTTTTAAAAATAAATATATTTAAAATTTATTAGATAATGGATTAAATATAAACATTTTAATGTATATATTATTTAAATTGGGTAATTTTGGACCTCATTTTTTCGGGTGTAAATGTAGTTTTATTTAAGAGAAACAGGTGGGCTTTTTTAGGTTTAAGTTGGGATGAATAGAGATCTAGAATCTTCCACGACGACTAACGTGCTAGAACCATCCTCCGCTTCCACTCACCGCCTCACATAAAAACCTTCTCCTCTCACTTCTCCTTTCCCCCAAAACCCTAAACCCTACCTTTCTCCCCTTTTTTTCCTCTACCAGTTTCGCCCATGGCCACCGGTGTGCTGCTCCGTTCTCTTCGACGTCGCGATTTAGCCTCATCCTCCATTTCAGCTTACCGATCCGTATGTCTGCTTCTCCTTTCCTGTGATTACTCAATTGTTTGTTCTCTGTTGTTGATTTTTGGTTTGTACTTTTTGAGTTGTCGAGTTTTGTTGCTTTTGGACATCTGGGAGCTGATTGTGCTTGTTAATATTTCTGTCGGAACTTTTTATTGTTTGTAATAAATGAAGCTGGAGTGATCGAATTTTGGTTTTGGTTATGGTTTGAAATACGTGATCTGATTAGAACTATGGATTGGGGCTTCTGTTGTGCACGCTCTATCGGATCTGTGTATAACGAATTCGTTGTGATTATTTACTAGTGTGTGGGAATGTCTCGTATTTCGGTCTATTCATGAAGAGAGTTGGGTGGACAGTAGTGTACGGGAATGGTAAAAGGTTGTTTGGTTGGATTGTGACTTTCATGTGGTCAGTAGCTTGGAGATGTTTTTGATTTAGTTGTTGGTGGGAAATATGTCATAAATCTTTTGATGATTTGAGGTGCCCCCCCTCCTTTCTAGTCGAGTCTAGGTACGAAGCGGTTTGAATGCGATTCTTTGATTTTGTTAGTTGCGCTCATTTTCATGTCGTACCAACACGACTTTGTTTTTTTACCCATAAAACATAGTCCTTCTTGGCTTTAATCACTAGTCAGTCATTTGAAACTTTGTTGTTCCACCTGTACTGCATGGGATTTTTACTTGCTGGCATATCCACTATCACAATTTTCAGACTTACACGCGTATGTTTATGATGTTGCAGTTAACAAGCAATGCCAAGTCGTCATTGGCCAGGTCTCACCTCAGCCAATCATGGGCAAGTTTGTCCAGGCCATTCAGGTTCTGATGACTTAAAGTGATTAGTTACTTGATTAATGTTATCTGTTGGTTTCCATCATTGCCTGATGTTTGTCTTGTCTTCTCCATGCAGTTCAAAGCCAGCTGGGAGTGATGTTATCGGTATTGATTTGGGTACCACCAATTCCTGTGTTTCTGTAATGGAAGGGAAGGTAAGTCTCAATGTACACACGTGGTTGATTAATGGCTTGAGTGTGCCCATTTTATGCTTCCCTGATTCTGGTTATATGTTTGTAGAATCCAAAAGTTATTGAAAACTCTGAAGGTGCTAGGACTACACCATCAGTGGTTGCTTTCAATCAAAAAGGTGAACTACTTGTAGGAACACCAGCAAAGAGACAGGCAGTTACTAATCCAACTAATACTGTGTTTGGAACCAAACGTCTCATTGGTAGACGCTTTGATGACCCCCAGACACAGAAGGAAATGAAGATGGTACCATACAAAATAGTCAGAGCTCCTAATGGAGATGCTTGGGTTGAAGCAAATGGACAGCAGTACTCACCGAGTCAGATTGGTGCTTTTGTTCTAACAAAGATGAAGGAAACTGCTGAAGCCTATCTGGGAAAGAGCGTGTCCAAGGCTGTAATTACCGTTCCAGCTTATTTCAATGATGCACAGAGACAGGCAACAAAGGATGCTGGCAGGATTGCTGGTTTGGATGTTCAAAGAATTATCAATGAGCCCACTGCTGCTGCACTTTCCTATGGAATGAATAATAAGGAAGGTCTTATTGCTGTCTTTGATCTTGGTGGTGGCACATTTGATGTTTCCATCTTGGAGATATCCAATGGTGTTTTTGAGGTAGAATTTTTCCCTATGTTGGTACTTTTTCGTAATATGAGTTTTACATTCTTAAATCTTTTTTGCTTCCATAATATCTGAGTTTTACAAGCCTACATTATGTTATTAGGTGAAATCGACAAATGGTGACACATTCTTGGGAGGAGAGGATTTTGACAATGCTCTACTGGACTTCCTGGTTAGTGAGTTCAAGCGAACCGATGCAATTGACCTTACCAAGGACAAGCTTGCCTTGCAGAGGCTTAGGGAGGCTGCAGAGAAGGCAAAGATTGAACTGTCATCTACATCGCAGACTGAAATTAACCTGCCATTTATCACTGCTGATGCATCTGGTGCAAAGCATTTGAACATCACTTTGACCAGGTCGAAATTTGAAAGTCTAGTTAGTAACCTGATTGAAAGGACCAAGGCACCATGCAAAAATTGTTTGAAGGATGCCAATATTTCCATCAAAGAAGTGGATGAAGTGCTTTTAGTGGGTGGAATGACTCGTGTACCTAAGGTGCAAGAAGTTGTCACAGAAATTTTTGGTAAGAGCCCCAGTAAAGGGGTGAATCCTGATGAAGCAGTTGCTATGGGAGCTGCAATTCAGGGTGGCATTCTTCGTGGTGATGTCAAAGAATTGCTTCTTTTGGATGTTACCCCACTATCGCTTGGTATTGAGACGCTTGGCGGTATATTTACAAGGTTGATCAGTCGGAACACTACCATTCCAACTAAGAAGAGCCAGGTAATTTCTTCGTCAAGCTTGTTTATAACAGTAATGTATGAGTAAATTCTACTCTGGCTAACCCTTCTGCCAAGTTAATTCTGTTCCTCATCCCCATATTTTCGGAAAGTCAAGTACCTTCCACATGGAGCATTCACGATAATAGATAGGGGTCAATTGGCGATGATATAGTACAATTTAGTTATAGATGGTAGTTTGAATCAAGTATTTATTGCTGTTGCTTATAAAAAACCAGTAGTACGTTGAGGCTGATCAATTTTGTCCATTGTGGATGATGCATTTGTAATTATTCGAATTTCCTCATTGCAGGTGTTCTCAACTGCAGCTGACAACCAGACCCAGGTGGGTATCAAGGTATTACAAGGTGAGAGAGAAATGGCTTCTGACAACAAGCTTCTAGGGGAGTTTGAGTTGGTTGGAATTCCTCCCGCTCCAAGAGGAATGCCTCAAGTTGAGGTGACATTCGATATTGATGCCAATGGTATTGTTACTGTCTCGGCCAAGGACAAGTCCACCGGTAAAGAGCAACAAATCACCATTCGATCTTCTGGAGGACTCTCAGATGACGAAATAGAGAAAATGGTGAAGGAAGCAGAGTTGCATGCCCAGAAGGACCAAGAGAGGAAATCTCTTATTGACATCAGAAACAGTGCAGATACCACCATCTACAGCATTGAGAAGAGCTTGGGTGAATACAGGGAGAAAATACCTAGTGAGGTTGCCAAGGAAATTGAGGACGCAGTAGCAGATTTGAGGAAGGCAATGTCTGGAGATGACATCGAAGAGATCAAGGCAAAACTTGACGTCGCCAACAAAGCTGTTTCCAAGATTGGGCAACATATGGCTGGTGGTTCAGGTGGTGATGCTGCTTCTGGAGGGTCTCAGGGTGGCGAACAAGCTTCTGAAGCTGAGTACGAAGAGGTGAAGAAATAAGGCAAGGCGCTGTAATGTCGTCCTGATTGTTCGGTTGCATGGATTTTCTTTCCCTTATTTTTTACAACCAAAGGGTGCTCTCATCTTATTTTTGCGGTAGAACTAAGAAACCTAGCGGATTTTTGTATCTAATCGTTGGGAGGTTGGTAGAACGTTCCTGATAATACCAGCAGCAGTGTATTGCTGCTGTTTTGCTTTGTTGAATTCTTTGTTAAAGAAATTTGTCAGTGATTTGTGTCACTGCCTGCCTGTTTTCGATGACAAAAAACTCGTCTGAATCATGACCATGCTTTTGATTTACGCTAATTTGATGAATAAACTCACTCGAATGCAAGTTCTCTCTTTTATTTACTACCTTGACAAAAAATAGCACACTAGGGTGGCTGCTGCTGCTTATTATTATTACAGACAACAGGAATCAAGTCGAGTTGCTTCTTGTACAAACTTCGCTGTTGTCATCAAGTGATATCATGGGGTTTCTTTCCAATGTGGAAAAGAAAACCAAAGCCTCTGTTAAAAGCTGAAATGGATTTTTGTCATCTTTTTCTCCTACTTTTTTATAGGTCATCTTCATCCATGCTTCTCGCACGTGCATGGCGTGAGCAATGGAGATGCCGATTCCTTCCATCGGCAAAAAGATCAAAGAGAGGGGCGGCGCTGTTCATATCCACAAAACAAAATGGGGCTGCTGTTCCTGCTCTTGAGATTCCTTTATTTCACAGCTTATCATCATCGAGTATTCAGCAGAAGGGAATGGACTCTTGTAGCTCATCTTCGGACCCATATTTATTTACAGAACAGCCCCAAAAGGCGACCCATAGTTAATAGAATGAACAAACAATTGTCCTAGATTCATGGGCAAGACGAACAGGTCGGAAAAACCCAGCATATAGTAAAAGTAAACGATGGGTTGGTACGAATATATAGGAAAGGATGGAAGAATGAAGTTGTCATGTCACATTAGAATCGAAAAATTGGACATTGATTCACATTGAAACATATGTATATATATGTATATACAAGTGTAATAGTGATGTGTACACAAAAGAGTATATAATAGAACTTCCCAATTCTAACATCATCTTCTTCTACATTCCTTCCTAACTTCCATCCCTTACCATACCACCAACTTCGCTTCCATTGTTGAGGCTCCCAAGTGTGTTGTTTCAGCCATGGCGTGGCACAAACTCCCCACTTCTCTAACCCCATAAAAAATGCTCGCTGTGTTTCACACTTCGGAGATTTAAACAGCCCTGTTTGTCAAAATGGCTTTGGTCAGAGATACAGAACTCAGGAGCTTGATAAGAAATCAGGGTATCAGATGGGCAAATTTAATACCTGTATCCAATGGTTCCACTCCGTGTGCAGCGCTTTGAGAGATTGTAGCTCTCCATTTTGGATCTATTTCCATTTAATCCTCACCGATTCATTGGGCATTGTCGTCGGAATCGCTCCCAGAAGAACTGCCGTCGGAATCCGAATCTGCAAGGATTGTACCCCGTTAGCCTCTACTACTTGTGGAAACAATTCCCAAATCTCAAAACATCCACCACCACTTAGAGATGGGTTATACCACTGGAAGAGGAGGAATCATCACTGCTGGAACTACTCGAGCCGCTCGAACTACTGCTCGCACCGTGCCCTCCTCCAGCGTCTTTCTCGATCTCAACCGGTGGGAAATTGCTCGCAGGCATTTCATCGCCAATGTCCACATCTTCCTCCCCAGCCTCCCCTTTCCGTTGCTTCTTCATCTCCGAACCGACCTCCATTTTCTCAGGGGTTGGCTTAACCTGTCAAAATTCACAATAAATAAGCACAAGAAATGTAAACAATGGCTGCAGAATGTGGAATGCTCATAAGAGAAGCCAAGATCTGTATCGGCTCATTTACCCCATTGGTCTTGTTAGACGTAGCAGTGATAAAAGCCTGTCGTTTGATCTTGCTCATCATCTTCTTCCAGTTCGTCACCAGTCGGTCGAGCTCCCAGAGTGTTTCGGTATCAACGGCCTCAATGTCGAGCTCAATCTCGTCTCCATCCTGCTTCAAATGCCCATTTCTCTTCTTTATGATTTGCACCACTTGCTCCATTTTCTCCGGCGGCAAACTCTGCAACCCAATTCCCAATTTGTGCTTCTCCTCTAGTGTCATTTCCCTCTTATTTGGATCTTTAGCTCTCGGCTTCGGCTGTTTCACTGGCTTTACAGGCGGTGCCCGTAAAGGCGAGGGTGTTTTCACCGGCGATTGCATCATCGGCGGGGGGTTCGAGGAGCTCGACGGAGCTTTCATCGGCTCTGTCTTCTTCACAATTTGCTTCTGAGGATCCTTCTTCACTGTTCTTTCAGCCTCTGAAAGATTCCAGGAATTCGCTGGTAGCTCTTCCTGGTAGCTACGATACCGACGATCTTCTTCTTCGAGGACTTCACTCAGAGGTCGAAACAATTCCTCAAATCTCGACAGTAATTGCTCCGCCATAGCGTGTACATCGTGGCCCTTGGGATTATAGGTCATCGCGTTCTTGAAGGTCAACCTCACATCGGAGGCGAAATCGAACGGCGATTCGTACGCATCTTTACTCAAAATGGTTTTGACGGATCCCAAATCCATCGGACGCTTGACGACGTCGTAGTAATCGTGAAGGCCCATCCCTACCACATCGACCGGCTTGTTGAAGATCCAGCCATGTTTGTGCTTCATCAGTTTCGTCAAAATCTGCGAGCAAGTCTTCATTAGATTACCATTTTCTGAATTTGATCGCTTCAAATCCTTGCCGTTGCTCGACGTTGGTAGAGGCCGCTTGGTTCCCGAGGTTTTTGACGATTTTTTCTGGTGTTTTGGTCTGGAATGTTGTCCGCCTGAATTGATGCGATTTTTCAATTTCCGAATCTGTTCTAGCTCGGAGATTAACTTGCTCTTCAGCTCGATCAGCTCCTTCCTCGAGCACGAGGAAACGTTGAAGCTCACGTATTGACAAAAATCGACGCCGTTGGACAATCTAAGATGATGATTGATTGACGATGCATCATCTGATGCTGATTGAGTCACAGCCGGCGATTCATCTTTCTGAAAACCGTTCATCTCGCCATGAAATAGTTTCTTATTAAATTTAGGGTTAGGGTTAGAAAAAGGTACTTTACCCATGAATTCACCTTCCGTACCACGGCCGTTGCCTCTCGGCTGCGGCCAATTGGATTCGTTTCGGTTAGCTAAGACGGCGGAAGCCATTCCTGTACGGAATCCAGAATTCCCAGTAGGATTCCGACAGGGATCCGTCGAGAATTTCCCAATGTGGTTGAAGGATTAAACATTAATATCCGAGAAAGTCCTTCCTACGCGCCCAAAAATTCCTCACGCGCCGCCGCAGACAAACAAACAGAACCTCCTTCAAGATGTACACAACAAAAACGAAAAACAAAAATGAAAAAAAAGAAGGAATCTTGCAGCGCTAGGGTTCGAGGATTTGGGTTGATCCTGACTTCTGAGCGAGGAAGAAGAAGGGCTAGGGTCTGATCTTAAAGGCGTGGAGATCTGCCCCGAAAAACTTCGGGCAGAATCATGACCATCGATGCACTTTCCCTCATCAATCGAACGGTCTACGCTCTCTCTCTCCTGCCGGTGAAATGACCAAATGACCTGGCATCAACGGTCCATATCTCGAGCTATCTACACGTGGACGAATTGAAACCGTAGGATGGAGCTGTGATTTGGGGAGATGCGTTTGGGACGAATTTGGGCCGAATTTGTCGTGCATTTAGGGTTTCGTATAATTCACTCACTTTTTTATTGAGTTTTGTGGGCCCTACAGCTGCTGATGTCGACCGAAAGGCGATTGGCTGATTTTCTGCGCTGGGTGTGAAGAGGTGGGCCCCACCGGTGGGGTCGTCCAAAACGTGTGAACAAACCCCTCCTTTTTGCCCTTTGCACTATGTGCTAACTTAGTCAATTAAGGGGTTTTTTGGTAAATTCATACTATAATAATAATAATATTATTATTATTATTATTTTAATTTCTGAAAAAAAAAATGGCCTGAGTCTGACCTGGCGGTTGTACTTCTACACCCATATTTCTTTCCTTTTCCTCCGGATAATGACAAAATATAATTAAACATAAATTTAAAAACGTATTAGTTGTGTAATAAATCAATTTCCACGTGTCCACAAATCAACTTTTAAACTTTCTTTTCTCTAATTATTTATTTTTAGGAAAATTTGATCTCACTCACTTTAATTAATATCTATCTATAAATATTCCAAACAATACTTCCACCTTTTTATTTTTTTTCCTTTTATAATTAATATGTAATTTTGCTTAAAATCTTAATATTTCCATTTTTATAACATATTTATTTATTTTATTTATTTTCTTTACACCAAGTAAAAACCTTGTATTTTGGTTAAGAATATTCATTTTAATGAATAGTCATGTCTCAAGGTATAGAAATGAGATTGTATATTACATCAGGTTATTATTTTAATTATTGAATATTTAATTTTTAGAAATAATTTTATTTGAACGGAAGACTAGACTGTGTTGTAATATTAAAATTCAGGTTTGGAAAAATATAATTATTTTTATTATGATATTTTATAATATTTTCTTTAAATAATTATATTTATAGTTCCCTTCATATTTTTTTAAAAATAATTTTTATTAGGTTGAGAGTAAATCAAAAATATAAAAACTAAAACAAAAAAAATTCTTAAAAATCTCAATAAATAGTTGTAAATTTAAGTATTTAACAAGATACATAGATTTAGATTTAAATTTTAAATTATTACTATAAAAGGTAATATATTTTAGGAACCAAAATATAATAATTAAAGTCATGGAGTAATGATGGAGAGAATGAAAATTTAGTGTGGTTATAACTTTAATTAATATCTCTTCTAACCTTAAACGTGATTAAAATACTATTATGGACCTTTTTTATTTAAAAAAGTCAATGTTATTTATTAAAAATTCCAATGCCTTCACATCACTATTTTATTTGAATTATTTTGTCTTGAAATATTGACGAAAAACACATAAATTATTAAGAAATTATCATATGCCATTGAATATTTTAGAAATTACTTCGAAAAAAATAAGCAATTAAATATATTTTTATATTTGCTCGTTAAAATTTGAACCGAAAATAGTATTCAAATTTTATATTAAATATACTAAGAAAATCAAAACAATATTAATTAAAATAATTTGTTTTTTTTTTAGTAAAGGTTAAAAAAGTAATTAAAAGTACAAGAAAAAAACAGAAACCATATACCAAGATTTAAAGAGAAGCATCCAAAAAGTTTAAATAATAAGGAATATTATTATATGAACGAATATTTCTATAATAATAATAATAATAATAATAATAATTGGTGACACAAAAATGGCTACTTTTTATGGGTTATATTTATAATTTATGAAAAGGTAGCTCACATCAGTTCAAAGACCTATGCTACACTATTTTTCAATTAACTATCAACGCTATCAGTATGATTAAAATCAACACAGTTTCATTAAATGACTACACAACTAATCTCATCTAAAATAGAAAAAAGAAGGCCTTGTACCATTGGTTGAATAGCTTCATCCAATTATGAACTCGCACCATTTTCATTCCTTCCCTTTTGAGTTCAAACACCATAGAGATCGAAAAACTCGAATATCAGATTTTTCGGTCTAGGATATACGTCTTAATCGATTGAGTTATGTTCAAGTTTGTTGTACCGCCCGATCCCACTGTTAGCAGATACGGTCTTTTTTGGGTTTTCCCTCGAGGTTTTTAAAACGCATTTGTCAATGAGAAGTTTTCATACTCTTATAAGAATGATTCATTCTTCCCTCCAATCGATCTGGGATCTCTCATTAGCTTTATAAAAACTTATACTTTTGCAACCATCGAGCTTCAGGACATAAGTCGCCTTTCCTTGAGAAAAATCCTATGAGAAAAAAGTTCAACCTAAATCAAATGAACGCCAGACCATCAACTAAATCCAACCTAAAGCTGCAAAGCATCCATCTCTCATGCAGGGTTTTAGGTGGTCTGTTAACTTGGATGAAGGTGTATTTGGTTGGTTTTTGGTTCTTTCCAAAGTCAGGCTAGCTGCTGGCTGCTACAACTACCTAATGGTTTACAAATGTTCAGCTATTGAGTACCTGAAACACTAGCAACAAGTGAAAGCCGACTTTCCAACATTTTCAAGCACTGAAACCTATCAGATGGATCAACCCAAAGATCTTTGCAAATTTACAATATTTAGAAACCAACGCATGCATCTTTTACAAAGGAACACATGGTCAGGGGCAATCCTAGGATGACCCATAAAGATCCACAGCCAAATTTGCAAGGAAACATGTGTGTCATGTATGATCATGATAAATGCATTCTGAGCTATGACCAAAAATCAATGAGATTCATCCTAGTTCATGGGTGGAAGCCAAAGATCATTTGCCAGAGCAATCAATCTATCAATTCTTATAAAATCCATTGAATGTTCTTGGATGGCTATGATTTTGTGAAAGTGAGAAGCCAGCTTATAACGTAAAAAAGAAAAAGAAAATCCATATCTTTAGTACAATGGAACGGAATGGAAGTCTGTTCTGAAATGGAGAAATCCTTAAAGCACAATTTTATTGAATGCAGAAATGTGGAGTAAATGTTTGTGTTGCGCTGAGTCAAGATAAGGCAGTTTCAAAAGTACTTGTTTGTATAATCGACACTCAATATTTGAATACCCTTCTGTTTATAGCCGTATCAGACTTACATCTTTTCAGGTTCCTTTGGATCGGAATCAACCGGTTGTTTCTCTTCCTTCACCTTTTTACCATCCACAGCATCACTTGGGATATCCAGGCCCAGAGGTATCTTTCCAGGATAATTAGTCGTTGAGGAATCCGACCCGACCATACTGGCAGCATAAAAGACATAAGGATCAGGAAGAGGAATTTTTCTTTCAAGTTTAATAGCTCATAACCTCACCTTCTATCAACTATGACAATGGAACGAAGCTCGCAATTAGCAAAGCTGCAAGTAGACAAGACAATGCATACATCATTACAGAGTTGATGATATTTAAACGTTACAAAATCAAGAGCCCATCAATGTAGCCAAGTTCAAAAACAAAATTAATGAATTTAAGTCATGAGTAAGGTTTAAAAAGATGAAGAAAAAAGAGGTCCTTTCTAGAAAAAAAAAAGAGAAATGGTAGAAAAAAAAGACTTCATTGACGAGAAGATGAGAGCAGCATCACAATATGCTAAAGGTTACAATTTACACAAGTCAGCGGTTATGGAATTCAAACATGGGATTTAAATTTAATAATTTGAAAGTAGAGGTGCATTGAATTCACTAACTGTTTGCATATTTCCTTTTTCACCAAAGGGTGGCAGTCATTTCCAAACGCAGTTAGAGTATGAGACAAAAATCCACTATGAGTAACAACGGCTATCTCCTTCTCCTTTCTCGTCCACAACCTGCAAGAAAGTAGCAAAAAAGCTATACCAAATTAACAAACAAGGTGATATCCGAGGAAGAATTTTGTACTGCTGTGTTCCATCAATCCACAAGTTGATATTTCCATTGATAGATTGGTGAATTGAGAGGTAAAATCTTTTTTTGAAATGTAATCCAATAATAAGGTCAAGGGGAATGGTTAATATTATCTAGACAGTGGAAGAATTATGCTAGCAATTGTAAGAACTACCAAATAAACTATACTGATTAATTATATGTTAATTCAAAGTTGCATTGCAACATTACTAGCCCGTTGAGAATAATGAAAAGAGACAACAGACAGGCAAACAAAAATCAAGGCCAACAAGAGGAGCTGAAGCCACAACAGAAAACCCGAACACCAATTGCAAAAATAGGCTCCAGTTATTAACAAGCAAGAACAAAGGAATACCCTGGAAAAATGGGAGAGGCTTTGTAGTCGATTATTGTAACCACTATAGCAGATATTGTCCTCTTTGGGTTTTCTTTTCTGGGCTTCCCCCGAAGGTTTTAAAACACGTTTGCTAGGGAGAGATTTCCACACCCTTATAAGGAACACTTCGTTCCCCTCTCCAACTGATGTGGGATCTCACAATAATAAAGTCTATGACCGCCCTAAGGCTTAGACTCTAAAACGCTTTGTAGTCAATCTTAAAAACTTAAAGTTCATATTTGCTATTAAACAGCAACAATGAAGCTGATAATTGTGAAGTGTAGGTGACACTAAAAGCTATTCCATTTTATTTCCAATCTCTATCGAATGAATTAAGCACAAAAATATTTGACTAAATTAGAATTATGCAGTCTGCATTATCCGGTTATATCTTATCTAGACATGTCTTCAACCTTTGAATCAATAAGGTAAGATCTACTGTAAAATGAACTATCAACCATTAATCCAGCCTCCAAACAAGTCAAGATTTTGTAAGAAACCATCGTGCAGATTTGTCCACCGAAATCTACATCCTGTAACAGTGAATCGCGCTAAACAAATAGCCAAC